CTCGTGCCTCCCCCTGCACAGCAGGGAATGGGGAGAGCCTTTCCAGCCAACGCCTTCCCTGGATATCTCCCAGCAGGACAATCAGCCAAACTCCCAGGGCCCCAAGCTGAGTCCAGTCCTAAATCCCTGGAAAGCTTCCAGAAGCTCTCAGGGTGTCCCAGCCTGTTTTGTGAGCCCTGTCCCCCGAACAACACCCCACACTCACCTTCTCTTGGTGGGTGTCAGTCCCACACTTCTCCAGCTGGCCTTTTATCCCAAAACCATTCCCTACCCCAAGAACATTCCCTGCCCTGACTGGGCACACGACCAGCTCACAACACAACAGCCCTGAACCCTTCAACACCCCTGGCTCCTGCTTCATTATGATAATTATGAGAGACAGGACTATCAGGAGAATAATCACACACCTGAGGGTGAAGGAGGCCAGTCCACAAACACCTGAGTCTTAAATCTACTCACCGTTCTCATGAAAAGTGACAGTAGGTGGCTACAGAACGAATGGTTGGGTCTGGTTTGTACCCTGTGAATTGGAGAACTGCCCTTCAGGAGAGACATCTAAGCCAGGCTGAAGTTGGGTTTCAGTCTGGACACAGGACCGGGACAGTGAAGACTTCGGGGAACTGCTACACTTAAAACCAAGTTTGCTTGGAAAAGGGCCAGGCTCAATTTGACTGGATCCTCCTGAGGTTTCCCCTCTTGAGCTGCACCACCAAATGAGGGCTCAGCAAACCCTCCAGGTCTGGATGCATCTGAGAGCAACATTAGAAACCCAAATCCCGGGTCTGGATTCAGCTGGATCTTGCCCATTTCTGACATACCTTTCCTTCCTGCCTAAAATCTGTGGGACTGATGGAGAAAGAGTGCAAAATAACTGAAACCCCAAAGGCTCCCAGGGCTGCAAAGCCTGGATAACACTTTAACGAGCAGGAAACCCTCCAAAGTCCAGGGAAGGAACAGGGGAAGGGCTGGGTGAGCGGCATGGAAAAGACAACTTAGGATCTGGAGACTGAGGAGCTGATGAAATCAAAAATCCCATTAGCACAGACAAGACTTTTATACCAATTTATAACAAGGTTTCCCCAGTGCTGAAGATGCTCTGCTCTGAATTTGTCCCACCTAAACACTTTGTGCCTACATGAGATGGAACAAGGCTTCGAGGCAAGGAGAAACAAGCAGTCCTGGCTTACAGCAAGTCCATTTTGGGAAGGTAGGAAAACTTGATCTCATGTTTTCCCCTCAGTTATCCCTGCTTAAAAGTTGCTGAGCAGTTCCCAGAAGGAAGGAAAGTGTCCCCAAACTGCAATTTTCCGTACAACCGGGGGGGAAAAAAAAAGAAAAAAAAAGTTACAAAAATACCACCTAGGTATTTAATGGGTTAGTTCCTGTTCCTCTGAGGGGAAAAAAAAGGTTTCTCAGAAGGTTTCCACACGGTAAACACTGGGGGATGTCTCTGCAGGGCTGGTTTCCTCACCTCACCCTGCTCACCTTCTGCGAGCGCTCGGAAAAGCGGGCAGGGAACATGAAAACCAGCACTGCAGGAGCTGCTCCCGGCCTGGATTTCCCAGGAAGGAAAGGCTTGGGCTTAGCTCAAGGCTTTGCAGAGGAAAAACGAGACAATGTAGGGGACGGGGAAGATTTATGGCACGTTTACTTTCCCCAAATGTTTTTTTTTTTGAAGGAGTGAATAAACCCCCCTGGTCCCTTCACCGCGGGTCCTCCCTCACACACAATGAGTCTTTTGATGCTCATTAGAAGGTTCACCTTGTGCAGGCACGTAATTAGAGCTGGGCAGGATAAAAATCTCCCTCCTGATTCCAGGGACTCCCAGAGATCCCTAAGCCGGCCTGGGAAAGCCCGTTTTGTGGAATTCAAGCCGTGGCACGGCGGGAGCACTAATCCCGACTGTCCTCCTGCAAGGTGGTCTGGCAGAGCCCGGGAGAGGCAGCACCGGTGAGAAATGGCTCTGGATTAATGAGGGGAAGGTGGGAGGGAAGAATTCAGCAAGTGTAACAGGCAGAGTGAAAACAGAATAAATATTTCCCTGCATCCCGAGCAGCCCTGCTTCCTGCAGATCCCAGCAGAGCCATAAAGATCTCCTAACAAGCAGCCTTTTTTAAAGTCAGAGACAACGGTGTTGAATGTATATTTTAAATAAATTGCTTTCCTTTCCAGAGGGTAATTTTCTTTTTCCTAAGTTTGACCGCCCCTCCACCCCACCCCTTGCCAAGAAACCGAATGCTTTGAGGCTCCTTAGAGCCAGGAGGAGTCTGCTGAAACACTCTCTGCAGTCAACACGTGCAGCCAAACGTGGCCAGAAGTTGTGAGAGCAGAGCTCCTGCAAGCACGGAGTCAGCAGGAACCTCAGGGAGCAGAGGACAGGGAGGAAACGAGGAAAGCCAGGATTCCTAACGCAGGATAAGCCCAGGAAAGGCAGGGTTCCTCAGGAAGGAGCAAGACGTGGCCGTGCGACTGTGGCAGTGATGTGCAGCGAGGGAATTCCCCGGAGCCCCTAGTTAATGACCCAGCACTCAATCCCCAGGATGGCCACGGTGATTTCCCCCCGGAATGCACTTCCCTGCCCTCTCCTGTCGCTGCCAAACCCCCGCTGTGAGCGATGCCCCGGCCCTGCAGCTCGGGGGAGGTTTCTCAACAGCGTTTCTGTTGTTCAGTTCAGAATAAATATTATTTTCCAAATCCTCCCTCCAGGGACTCACCCCAGAGGGTCCCCCGAGGATCCCCCACATCCGACCCCGCTCACACAGCACGGGCTGAACACTGAGCTATTCTACTGCCCTGTATTTTCCAAGAGCAAACTCCAAACATTTCTGGGTTTGCTCACACCCCCCCAGTCTGCTCTGAACGTGCTTTTGCTCAGCCAGGAAAACCGAAGGAGCAGAGCCTGTGGTCCTGGCTCTCCTCTCTCTGCCTCTTGTGCACCTGGGGCAGCCTCTCAGCAGGGCAGGGGGGGAAGAAACCTTGTGAGAGTCCTTTGTTCTGATGCTAAAAGCACAGGAGAGAAGCTGCAGCGGGACATACAAACGTTCCTGAAAATGGCTGAGGGCCAACAGGGAGAAGTCAGGAGTGCCCAGGGTGGATTAGGGTGAAAATGGTCAGTCACAGTGAGAAAATCCCCTTCCTTTACACTCCAAGAGCTTCCCCAGGGCAGCAGAGGCTCCTCAGGTGTTTCTCAGGGGCTGCACCTCCCCTGTGCTGTGCTGAAAGCGCCCCAGAGGACACAGCCCAGGCCTGCTGCGAGCACTCTGGTGGGAACACATTCATTAATGAATCAACCAGTAACTCCTGCAAGTTTTTTTTTCTGTGATGAACAGTCCACACAGGCCCTCTACAAATTTTGTTTTTCCTTCATTAACAAGGACTGCAGTGAATCCTTCACCAGTCCAAGAAGCCCCAGGGCAAGCCTGGGAGGCAAAGACTGTTTTCTCAGAAGCAAGTCAGAACAGCACATATCAGCCCCTCCCCACCTCCTGCAGCAGCATCTCTGCACCCTCCACTGAAGGGATGAGACTTCCCTAGCGATGAGAGAATTCAGATTTCCATCATTCCTTCAGTTAGACCTGCTAAGAAGGGGATGAGGACAATGTGACACCTTGCAAGGGGCTTTGGAGCCTTCTGACACTCGTGAGCCGAGCGAGAATCACAACATCCCACCCCCCAGGAATCCCACCTGTTCCTGCTGAGCAAACACACTCTGATGGCATTGGGAACATTTTCACACCAGAACCCAAGTGAAAAGTTCCTGAAGCACCAAGATCGTGAGAAAAACACGTGAGAACACAACGAGCACAAACACCTTCCTGGGGGATCATTGAGGCCAAAAAGTTAAGAGGTGGGAGCTCCACAGAGGGGCCATCAGGACATCCACAACAAAAAAAAAAAAGACAACAAAAAACCTGGCTCCCTGTGCTGAAATGAATAATCTTTCAGCACCAAGGAAACTAAAAGCCTGTAAAGCTGCAGGTTATCCACGACCAGCAGAGCAGGGTTTGGATTGTATTGCTCACACCATAAATCACCCTGTCAGCTGCCCCAGCCATTTCCACTGGCCAGAGTGGAACTGGGCAAAAGTGCCAGGCCCTCTCACAACATCCACAGAGCCCAGGAAGGAGGAGAGGAAAAATAAAATCACGCTCTGTGCCTTTTTCCGGAATAACAATCCCCACATTTGCATAGAACAGTTCAGTGCCTTTCTGATCACACCTCTGGGTGCATCAAAAGCCTTATTAATTTCCATCGAGGAGGATTAAGAAGCTTAAATCGTTAGCACTCATTTACTCAGACTTAATGCATTTTTAAAGCTGCCTCATTTTATGCTGATGTGCAGGTGCTAATCAGCAGCGAGGAACACTTAAAAGGGAGAAAACTCCCAAAGGGTTAACCCCAGGGACCGGCATCCAGCAGGTCCAACCTCCTGCAGGAGCCCAGCAGGTATTCTGGACTCGGGGTTGGGAACATCCAGCATCCTCCTTGGCGGGAGCTCCCGCAGGGGTTTCTCTGGCACAGCTTCTCTCTCGCATCACGTGTGTGGCCCGAGAACAACCCCTCGGCTCCCCACTCGCTTTCCTGTGCGAGTGATAAGGAGGAAATCCGTTCCAGACAGTCAGCCAGACAGCTCAGCCTGCAGCCAGCCAGCCAGTGCCCAGCTCCGGCACCTTCAGCAGGGGTGGCCGCCAATTAAAGCGGAGTTTCGGCCGTGCCGGGGCAGCCCCCGGGCTGGCTGGCGGCGGCTCAAGAGCAACAACCCCTCGGGTGTCACAGCGTGCACCCCGTAACTCCGGCCACTCACCCGCGGTGACCTCACCGCGAGCCGTGCCCTCCTTGTGCTCAGCACCTCTGAGCTACGCCTGGCCCGCTCCTCCCTCCCACTGACCGCTGGTACGAGAGGAAAAATGAACACCTCGCCGTATTTTCAGGCACACACGCACAAACACACACAAACACACACACGGAGCAGCAGGGCCGGGAGATGCGCTCGCTGTTACCTGCACTCGCCCCCCGCGCGGCAGCCGCGGCTCTCCCATGGCTGTGCCGGCGCCAGGCTGGACCCCGCGGCTCCAGGGGGATCTTCTGCCGCGCTGCAATAGAAAAGGTTGGTTTAAAGCTCCTTATTTGGGCAGTGATGTCAAGGGAAGTCGCTCGGGCAGCGCCACCCCCTTTTTTTTTTTTTTTTTTTCCATTCACTCCACATTGTTTCCTGTTGTCAAAGCAGCTGCTGGGGCTCGGGGCACGGCCGCGGGATCCGCCTGCCCCGGGATCCTCCCGCTGCGGGATCCTCCAGTCCCAGAGACCCTCCTACTGCGGGATCCTCTAGCCCGGGAATCCTCCAGCTGCGGGATCCTCCGATCCCAGGAATCCTCCAGCCCCGGGGGCTCCAGCTACGGGATCCTCCGGTCCCAGAGATCCTCCAGCCCCGGGATCCTCCAGCCCCGGGATCCTCCATCCCGGGATCCTTCATCCCGGGATCCTCCATCCCGGGGCCGGCGCGGCCGCTCCCGGTCCCAGTGCCGGACACGAGAGCTGCCCCTCCCCGCACATCCCAGCGCTTCCCCTCACACATCCCGCCGTTCCCATCGCACATCCCAGCGCTTCCCCTCACACATCCCGCCGTCCCCATCGCACATCCCAGCGCTTCCCATCGCACATCCCGCCGTCCCCATCGCACATCCCGCCGTTCCCATCGCACATCCCGCCGTTCCCATCGCACATCCCGCCGTTCCCATCGCACATCCCGCCGTTCCCATCGCACATCCCGCCGCTCCCATCCCTTCTTGCCTGCAGGACCGGGGGAGGCAGCGCTGTCGGGCCGGTGCTGAGCGCGGCTCTCCCGCCGCCTCCCTCCCCTCTCCATCCCTCCCGCCGCCTTCCTCCCCCACATCCTCCTCCTCCTCCTCCTCCTCCTCGTTCCCTCCCCATCTGTCCCGGCTCCCGGCGCTCCCCCCCCGGCGCTGCCCGCGGCAGCCTCCCCCGGCGGCGCAGGGCGGGGGGAGCCTTTCCGCTCCTTCCCGCTCCTTCCCGCTCCTCTCCCGGCTCTCCCTCCCTGCTCTCCCGGCAGTCCAGGGCAGGAGCCGGAGCCCGGCCCGGCCACCAGCGTTGCCCTCGGGATGGGAACGGGAACGGGGCACGGACACCCCCGACCCCACACCCGTCGGGGGCGGGGGAAGCGCTCCCGGAGGGGCCCCGGAGCATCCACAGGGATGCGGGGACGGGCAGGGACAGATCGGGAGAGCCGGAATAGCTCGGGACAGCCGGGATAACTCGGGATTGCCCGGGATAGCCGGGATAGCCCAGGATAGCTGGGACAGCCGGGGATAGCCGGGATAGTCCAGGATAGCTGGGACAGCCGAGACAGCACGGACAGCACGGGATAGCCTGGACAGCCCGGGATAGCCGGGACAGCACGGACAGCCTGGGATAGCTGGGACAGCACGGGGTAGCCTGGACAGCCCGGGATAGCCTGAACAGCCCGGGATAGCCGGGACCGCAGGGATTTTCCAGCTGAGGGGAACTCCGAGCTCACGCCACGTCCGCTGTCCGATTAATCTCCTAAAACACACCCCAGGCTTTGATTTTTTTTTTTTTCCCTTTTGTCTTTTTTTTGGTTGGTTGGTTTTTTTTTATTTTTGGGTTTTTTTTTTTTTTGGAGGGGATGGTTTGGGGTTTTTTTGTGGGGTGGAGGTTGGGGTTCTTTTTTCTGGAGGGAGGAGGTTTGTCTGTTTTCTTTTTTTTTTTTTTTTTTTCTTTTAAACTCATCACTTTATCCTTGGATAGTTATCACTTTATCCTTGGATAGTTATCACTTTTTTTGCTTGGATTCTTTGGCGTTCGTAGTGGCCCCACAAGAGAGCTTGAGAGGGACTTTGTGATAGGATAAGGGGGGAATGGCTTTAAACTAAAAGAGAGTAGGTTTAGATTGGATATTAGGAAGAAATTCCTCCCTGGGAGGATGGGAGGCCCTGGCACAGGGTGCCCAGAGAAGCTGTGGCTGCCCCTGGAATTCCTGGAAGTGTCCAAGGCCAGGTTGGACGGGGCTTGGAGCAACCTGGGCTGGTGGGAGGTGTCCCTGCCCATGGCAGGGTTGGAATGAGATGAGCTTTAAGGTTCCTTCCAAGCCAAACCATGCTGGGATTCCACTGTCAGTCCCATGACAAACGGGAAGCCCAAACCTTTGCACTGAAAGTGCTCTCTCACAGGGCTGCAGGCAGAGCAATGGGATGGCAGGAGAGATTCACAATTTCCCTTCCACATTCTGATGGCAAAAGGGCTCCAGTGGTGTTTGTCCCAGCTCCCAGGTGGGATCCCAGCTCTGGGCAGCCCAAGCTGAGCTCAGAGGACAAAGCCAGACAACTCTGGGTGTTCAGCCAGGCAGCTGGGAAGAACAGGCTGGGGGCTTTTTGTAAGAAAGCAAAGAGCAGCTCTGCATCCCAGGCTGTGTTTACATTTAAAATATATCTGCTTGTTCAGCAAAATGTTTCTGCTCCTTCTGTGGTCGGTGGAAGTACCACTGCAGACAGGGTTTTACTGGCAAAAATGACAATTCTTGCCAAGCTTGTTTTGCTCAGCCCATCAGTAAGTGCTTGATAACTGATTGCTGCTCTGTGGGGTCAAATATTCCATGGTCAAACATTCCAGCTGTGCCCCGAAGCTGGCACAGCCATTCCAGCAAACTGTACCTCAGCTCATCCTCACTGATGCTCCACAAACAAATCCCTGGTGGAAAAGAGAAACGAAACAACTCCCCTCCCCAAACCACTGTTGCCAAGCCTGTGTTCCCATCTGACTCCAGTCTTCCTGAAGTCAGGGATAAACCATGAAAAGTCACATCCACAGAGCTGTCCCTTCCCACAGAAAGCAGCTTTTCAGGAGAAGTAGGACTGAAAAAAACCCCTGCTCTCGAAACACCAGCCTGGCCCCTCTCCAAGCAGCCACAGAGAAACACCACATAAACTGCATCCCCCAAAAGGCTTTTTGGTGCAGAACCCGAGGAAATACCACATAACACACGCTCTCCACGAGCACATGGTTTCCTCAACAGCCCAGTTTCACACCCAATTCCAGCTTCTCTCGTTCCGGCCAGAAACGAGAATCCAGAGCGTGAGGTAAAAACGCCTCCCGGTTTTATTTGTTTGATTTTGTTCCCCTGCTGCCCTGGGCTCCTCCCTCTCCCTCAGCCTGAGTCACTCTGGTGTCAGCAGGTGCAGTTGCTCAAGGTCTTTAAGGAATTCTGCGGATGCAGGACACTGGATACGCCGCCAGGCCCTCGAGGACTCTCAACAGGCAGAGTGGCCTCAAACCCTCCCAAATGTCCCTCGATAAACACTGGAATTGGGTGTGTTTCCTCCTCCAGTGACCTTTCCCATCGGGATGGCTGAAGTCACAGGGCTGCTCCTGCTCCATCTGGAGCTCTGCACTGCCCAGCTCTGCTCAGACAGGAGGAAACGGCCTCAAGCTGCACCAGGGGAGGTTTAGGTTGGATATTAAGGAAAATTTCTTCACTGACAGAGCAGTCAAGCCTTGGAACAGGCTGTCCAGGGCAGTGGTGGAGTCACCATCTCTAGAAGTGTTCCAAAAAACATGTGGATGTGGTGCTCAGGGACATGGGGTAGGGGTGGGCCAGTGCTGGGCTAGTGTTTGGATATGATGTTCTTAGAGCCATTTCCTGACCTAAATGATTCTGTGATGGGCCAAGAGCAGTAAAAAAAACACAACAGGTTTGTCACTTCAAGGCCAGCAAACACAACCCAGACTGAGCAGGGGGATAGAAGGGACTGGATATGGCAGGGAACCCACATCCATCACCCAACTGGACTGGAGTGTTTCGACAGACATGTAATAAATGAAATACAGCTTCCAGGAGCATGGAGAGGATCACAAGGACCCCCAGTCAGAAGCAAAAGCAGCCACCAAAGAAGTGTCTCCTTTTCCCCACATCAGTGGGGAACAGTGCTTACACCTCAGTTGTTGTGTAAGTGCCTCACATTCCAGCCCAGCCTTGCCGTGGTGGAGATTTTAGGAGGCCAGACAGGCAGATCATTGTGCCATCATTGGATGGCACAGTCCCAGGAATCCATGAGAATCACAGAAACATGGAATATTTGGGTTGGAAGGGACCTCAAAAACCATTTAATTCCACCCCCTGACATGGGCAGGGACACCTTCCACTAGCCCAGATTGCTCCATCCTGGCCTTGGACACTTCCAGGGATCCAGGGGCAGCCACAGCTTCTCTGGGCAACCTGTGCCAGGGCCTGCCCACCCTCACAGCCAACAATTCCTTCCCAATATCCCATCTCTCCCTGCCCTCTGGCAGTGGGAAGCCATTCCCTGTGTGCTGTCCCTCCATCCCTTGTCCCCAGTCCCTCTCCAGCTCTCCTGGAGCCCCTTTAGGCCCTGCAAGGGGCTCTCAGGTCTCCCTGGAGCCTTCTCTTCTCCAGGGGAACCCCCCCAGCTCTCCCAGCCTTTCAACTCCCACCACCAGTTCTAAGTCCCCAGGTTCCCCAAATGGGAGGACTTTCACACCGAAAGGTGAAGTGACTTGTTGGTGGTTGCACAGGAAATCATCAGGGGGAGAACCGATATGAAAATTCCCAGTTCCCACCTTGGAGGAAAGGGGTTCTTTGGGGGGAACCTCCTTTCCCACAGGGTTACTCAAACAGCAGCTCTGCAGTCATGTCTAAGCTGGAATTCCTGACTGTGCTCCCAGGCTCTGTCAGTGCATTTTAGCAGCAGGGAGGAGAGGGATGAGCTCAGGGACCAGCTGGAATTGTGCACTGGGAGGGGCTCTGAGGAGGTTCACGGTGCTGGGATGGTGGAAAAAAGAATAGAGCTCAAAACCAAAAAAACCAAACAAACCAAAACCAGAGGTGGGGACAGTTTCACAGGGACCCTTTCAGGCACTGGGGAATTTTTGCACACCCTGGGCCACGCTGGGGTGAAGGGGAAGGTGAAGACCAATCATAACACTGAGGGGACAAAGAGGGTCTGACCTCAGTGAGGTCAGTGAGATGTTGTTGAACCACCCTCCACCTCAGGACAGTCCCTTTCCTGCCTAAATGCTGGTTTCTAACAAAGGATTTCCA